TAATTTATTGCTTTATAAGTATTTTATATTATGCTGTAATAATTGAATATAAATTTTATAGTTACTTGACCGGGATTTGAACCCGAGATCCTTCGGTTAGAAGACCGGTGCCATAACCACTGCACTAATGATCAGGAAGAATGTTTTTTGAAAATATGCTAATAAAAAATTATTAGCATATTTTCAATTAATTTTTAGTATATGCCATAATAGTTAATTCATGGTTATACTTATGTATGTATTTACTCATGTGTTTAGATAAAAATCAATGTAACGTTGTTATTTATTCGATTTTAATTAAATCTCTTTCCAACATTTCTATGAGTCGTTAGGTTATTCATAGCACAGTTTTTTGCCCTATTTCTAAAATTACAAAATTATTTCAATATAGACCAATGGGCAGAAAAGCTATGGTAATTTTTAATGTTTGAAAAAAAATTTTGAATATGCCAAAAATCAAAATATTTTAAAAAAACTATTGAAAATCAATATAACAGTATTTAACGTCTACTGCACCTTAGAAAATGGTAATAAAAATTTTTTTTACACCTTTAAATTTTTAAAAATTTTTAATTTAATTTTATTATCAGATTTTAACGAACATAAAATTCATTGTAAGTGTTCAATATTTAGTATTTACTTTGTAATTATTTTTAACCCTTCAAATTCAAAAACTATGTTTTTTTTTTGTAATTTCAATTAATGAAATAAAAAAAAATGGTTTATGACATGGAAAATTAATTTGGAAACTCAAATCAGTTAACTAAGTACTTGTATTTCCAAAAATAAAAAAAAAATTCCATTTAATTAAATTTTTTAGGTGATGCATCATTACTTTGACTCGCAGGTAACGCTTTTTATATTGCAAATTGAAAAACAAAAGGAAATTTAAATAAATAAATTTTATTATTAAATTATTAAAACTTTATTATTAATTAAATTTATTAAACATTCTACGAGTGATAAATAAACCTTTTTTAAAACGAGTGAAAATAAAGTTAACCGTGTCAACTCTGTGATACCCGTACGAATTTTTTATCCTGTGTGCGAATAAATTTCCCATAGCAGATTATGAGGCAGACTATGACCTTAAGATGTCGTATTACCATATTAATTTATTCAAAATCTCAGTATTGTTTCCAATATTTTCTAACACATGACGAAACTGCTAGTGAAGTTGTATGGCTGCAACCAGAAGGAGCCAAACAATTTCAACCACTTTTATCAAACACATTGGCCCTACTAATATATTTGCTTGTGTGAAATATCAATACCATAGCTTTTATAGTTTCCGAGATATAGCCAAATAAATTTTGAAGTTGTATGGCAGCTACCTAAACCAGCCAGCACCCTGATCAGATCCAATTTAAATACGGTTCTGGCATTTGCTATAATAAATCATTTGTGAAAATTTGGTGAATTTAACTCAATTAGTTTTTGAGTTTTCGTTGGGACGGACGGACGGACGGACAGACAAAGCTAAATCGACTCCGAATTCAACGTTGATCAAAAACATACACTTGAGTTTGTATCTCAGGCCATTATTTCTTGGCGTTACAAACGGTAAGGCAAATTTAGTATACCCTTTGAACATACGTTCGTACGGGTATAAATAGAGTTGATCATGCCACATCGGTGATACTCGAGTATAAATCGGTGAATGCTTTTTAAGAAGTGTACAATAGTTGGTTAATAAAATCTTTCAAGAGTTTCTTTATGGAAAATTATTTTAGACTTAATTATTTTTAGAACTCTATGACAACTATTAGACTCGCTCTTTCGATTTAATCTATATTACATATAGGTTTCTTATCATAACTACTATAAACAATTTGATTTAGCCCAATTTGTTCTCGAGATATCCCTATGATGCTTTAGAACAGACATAGGTAAATGGCTAAATCGAATCAAAATTAGGAGTTGATAAATAATATATACATATATCTGTATGTATATGCCTACATCTAATATTAATATAAATTGAGCAAGTTATATTTGAGCTGGTGTTTTTGAAAGTGATATAAGTCCATTTTTTCATATATTGAGATATTTAAGGGGTTGCGTTTGAATTAATTTAACAAAATTGGCCATAATAACAATTTGTTTATTTTATGTCTAAATAGAACTTTATTGAAACTGTGACTGCAACTGTGGGAAGACGATGGTTATCAAAATTTCCATTAACTTTCAAAAAAGTCACCTCATTTTTTTTATTACAATACTTGTAATTCCATCTACCTTAAAAATAAAAATTATCCTGTATTCTAATTCAAATGTAGAATTTAATTGAAAGATGTTGAACTATATAAAAAGGTTTTTGTATGTTACCTGAATATAAATAATTAAATTTTTATACTATTATGATTTTACACTTAATATTTTAATTATTCCACAATTTGTCTTGTTCCGCCAAGCACGTGGTTATGTTTTCACATTAATTATTTTCGGTTCTAAATTTTTTTTCAGTTCTTTTGCTAAATTACATTATGTTGAATCTTACTTATAAATAAGCTGTTTTATGTACATTGTTATATAAACCTATTTTTAAATTATGCCCAAAAATTTTTAATTTGGAAAACATAAATTTAATAGTATAAAGATAATCAATTAATTATATTTAATGTACTATTTTATGGCATATGTTAAAGTCTAAAAAAAATAATTAGTAAGTGTTTAATTACACGCAAAATTTTATTTTGGTAATTAATTTATTTGATTAATTCTTCGTTATTTCAAAAATAACTTTACTTTTTAATATTTCTATTTAAATAATAATCTCATTTAATTTAATCGATTGTTCTAATTTAATTATTTGATTTGTGAAAACTGTTTGTTACAAAATTTAAGTTCCAAAGCAAATAAATGGTAATCCTAAAATATAGCACTATAAAAAACGCTTGCCTAGCTTATACCTAAACAAAAAATTTTTAAATTAACAAATTAATGAATGTACTTAACAAAGAAGAAGTTCCGTAGAGATATAGTAAAAAGTGTAAAATCGGCCCTAAGTCCAGTTTCCGGACTCTGATCTTTCCAAAAAGTTTACGATTTCAATATTTTAACAAGCCAAAATTACATATTAAATTTCAGGGAAATTGGTTTATTGTTTCTCTTTATATGCGCAAAAAAGTAAAATCCGCCTCTAGCAAAGGCTTGGTATCGGAGGCCTAATATATCTTAATATTTTAAAAGTTGATTAATTCCTGACATACCGAAATTAAACTCATATAACATAAAATTTCACCAAAATCGGTTAAGCCGAACTTGAAATACGAACCGACAGACTGACAGACCGGCAAACCGACAGACCGATATCTCACTGAAAAGAGTTTATTTACACTTCCGTACCAGTGAGAAGTGTTTTCTCACCGTAAACTCGACATGAGAAATTTTTTGCTATCTCAAAACCATAGCCTTTATTGTGTGTAATGCGGTCGGTAAAAATGTGGAAATAAATGTGAATAAAATGCTACTTTGAATTTTTAAACTTTGACTTTTGATCTAATTCTAAAACAAATAGCACAATTATTTCTTCTCTTAGGAATGTTTAGTTTCTAAAAGAGAGAAAATTTGAAAGTAAATTCTTAAATTTGTTTCTAATTGATTAAAGGTCAAAACAATTATTTTTATTCATCGGATATAATGATATATCGCAAAATTTTCTTTGAGCGTACAAAAAATGACAAAGTATAGTTTTATTTTACTTCCAAGTTAAAATACGAGCATGTTCATAAGAAATTATTCACAGTTAAAAAAGCATACAATGCTAAAGGCGTTTTAAAAGTTTAATAACTGTTGGTATATAATACATCATCCAAGTCTAATGCTATAACTAAATTAGTACATTAGAAAACATTAGAATTTCAAAAATTTTTAAATTTCTTTTTTTTAAAAACACTTAATTGATTTAATATTAGAAAAAGTGAGGAAGGGAAAGTGAAATTCATTATGCCAAATAGAAAATTATTATCGGAAATGTATGAGTTTCGAATTATGTAATTAGTTCGGAATTGGTGATTTGAAATACAAATCTATATTGCTTTTAATATTGGGACATGGAAACGATATTTTCGTATATAAATGTACCTACCGTGTAACTATTTTAATTTTTTTAGTTTTGTCAAAGCACTCTCCTTATAACTTTCGAATGTTATAGTGTTACATGTACATACAATATAATGTGCCTACTACATCTCTAAATATATGAAATTTTCTTTCTTTCCAAAACTTATAATTTTTTATGGATTTAAAATTACTTTCGAACTTTATTATAATTTCGTTATGGTTGAAGATTCCCAAAATTTATAATTAAAATTTTAATAATTTTTTTTTCTTGAAATATGAAAAATTAAGGGTATAGAATACAATTCTCTTAATACAATACTGTCTACTACTAAATTCAGAGTATAAAATGCAAAAGAGTCTTCTAATACAATACTGTCACTTTGTCAAATTTCTTAAATAAGTTACATACATATCTAATTTATTATATAAGATTTTCGTGTAAATGTTAATTAAAGTGTTTTTGTGGAATGTTTTTGTGGGAATTTTATTGTTCATATTACCCATTTTGTGTTATATTATTTAAAACCTTTATACAAAAATATTGTGGAATTTTATTTCACTTCGCCATTCGAGAAAGTTGTCGGCATTTTGTTTTTGCGACAATTATAGTTTTTGAATTAATGTTTTTTTTGCAATTTTCTTTTCCATAATGCGTTTATGCTTTCTAAATTTTCTTTAATAATAGCTCACATAGTAAGTAAAGGCAAAATTTATAAATTAATTTGCAAATCGATGAAAATTTTTTTTATTTTTCAATTTCAATTCTTTGTACTTCTTGATTGACCACCGACTTGGAAGCCAAAAATTTATTTAGACTAATATAATTATGTAAACTAATATAATTAGTTTTAAATGTGCTAATAAATTAGTTTTAATCTACTTTTATTTTTTTTAGATAATTTCACAAAATCTATTCAAAAAAATTTTAAAGGAAAATGGAAGTTACAACGAATCATAGGGATCCGAAAGATGAAGAAACCCCTGATGTAGCAAAGAATTCTTCAATAGCAAAGACAGAACCTCATAAATGGGAATTCGTATGGTATAGAGCTATAGGATTACCACTTCTCCATTTACTGGCGTTTTACTCCTTGTATATTTTAATTATACATAGATATTGGGGACTATTTTTTTATGGTATAATTGAATTTGTAAAACAACAAAAATTTGTATATTGAGAGTTGAATGATTTTTTTGTTTTGTGTTAAGGTATTTTTGTTGGATTACTAAGTGGATTAGGAATTACAGCTGGAGCTCATCGTTTATGGACACATAGATCATATAAAGCTAAATGGCCTTTACGATTAATTTTAGCAATATTTCAAGCAATGGCTTATCAGCGATCAATTTTAACATGGTCACGTGACCATCGAACACATCATAAATTCTGTGACACAGATGCGGATCCACATAACTCAAAGAGAGGATTTTTCTTTTCACATATAGGATGGCTTATGATTAAGAAACATCCAGAAGTTACTATAAAAGGGAAATTAGTTGATATGAGTGATTTGCAAGCTGATCCGATTGTGATGTTTCAAGACAAGTAAGTTATAGAATAACTTTTCAAAAAAATTATTTTTTAAATTTGTTTAATTTATTTATAGATATTATTACATAATAATGCCACTATTTGGTTTTATTTTACCACCCATTCCTGCATGGTACTTCTTTGGATACGATTTTTATCATTCAATTTTAATTGTTTCAGTATTACGTTGGATGTATACGCTAAATGTTGCATTTTTGGTTAATAGTGCTGCCCATTTATCAGGGCCAAAACCATATGAAAAAAGTGTAACTTCAAGTGAAAATTCATTAGTTATAGCATTAGCTATAGGAGAAGGTTATCATAATTTTCATCATGTTTTTCCTTGGGATTATAAAGCTGCCGAATTGGGTGGCTATTATACGAATATTTCGAAATATTTTATAGAATTCTGTGCAAAATATGGTAAATTTGATAAATTTTATATTGTGTATGCATAAAAGATTTTGAAAACAAATTGATATTGATTTTAGGTTGGGCATATGATCTAAAAACTGTATCAGAAGATACATTACGCAAAAGGATATTAAGAACTGGTGATGGATCACATTTCGCTCTTGAAAATATGAACGTTAAAGAATTAATGGAGAATTTAGATTTAGATCAAGCTAATGATAAAGAATTAATATGGGGTTGGAATGATAACGATATGGAAGATGAATATAAGAAAAGTGCTAAAATTATATATAGAAGAGGTTAAGATAAAAAGAAGTGAAAAATTTTTGTATATTTTTTAAGTTTTGAGTTGTGATGCTGAGTTTTAGTCAACTATCTTGAGATTTTAAAGCACAAAACAAAATTTTAAATTTTGAAATGCTTTTTTTTGCGGTATTATAAAATTATTTTACTCACTATTTAATTTTACAATAAATTATACCTTACAAATTAATAATTTTAATGGTTTTTTCTTTATGAATAAAGGAACGTGGGTCTGTATAAGCTCCAAAAACAAAATTGTTTTTTTTTCATTGTGAACGTTATAATGTTCTCAAGTAATATTTATTTAAAAAATTATAAAATAATTCTTAAAGAACATAATTTTAGTTGTAGGTTTTTGTCATTTGCAAATAGAAACATAAAAATATAAAACGAAACTTCTCAAACTTTTGGGACTTTAGAAAAATTTTATTTACTTTACGAGAAATTGTTTGTATTCACTTACACTCACTTCCTTCACTTACACTCTCGAAATTCCTAAATTATTGTTCGACTGACTGCATGGAATGTCGTGATATCTTCTTAATATCAGCTTTTGGTTAAATCCATGCCATTCAGCTGTGATTACAAATGAATTTTAGTACTAATGATTGACGACAATGGGTTTTGCTTCCTCCCCTATCATAGGTCATTCGAATGATAATTTTTACTGGATTTCTTAAACAATTTAAGTTTTTGCTTTACTTCAAAAATAAAAATTTTTTTAAATCACATATTCAAAGAAGAAACGATAAATTAGAAAAAAGCTGTTTGCAATAAGTCGGTTATTTTGATAAAATTTGAAAGATTTGTAAACGTTTTTTAAAGGCTTTTCTGTTCACGTTTTATTATTTAATTAAGACAAATATAGAAAATTAATGTACATGTATATTTACTAAATCTGTGACCAGAAATTGTACTTATTCGAGTAGTTTTTTTAAATTTCACAGTGAGTAAAGACATAGCACATAATATATTATACACTCATGCATCTGGAAATATGCACATGCGCATGTAGAAAAATTAAGAAGAAATTGAAGAAATGTTCGTTGGAAAAAATTACATGACTTTTTAAAGTTTCACATATAAGTTTGGGAAAAATAAAATAACTACCTTTTCAGAACGAAGAACGATGTTTAATTTTTTTTCGCAATTTTTGGTTTCCACATGATTTATTAATTTTAAAATTATTACTTTATAATCTTATAACAAAAAAAGTTAATTTATAATATTGCTAAGTCTAATTGACAATAATGAAAACTTGCTGCAGGTTTTTTTCTAATGATGAACAATTAATTACCATTTTTTTTTATATAAAATTTTGTTTTCATTTTGCTTATGCTACAAGAATCATTTTGTTTTCATTTCCTTTATTTTATAAATTAACAAACTTTATAGTATACTAATTACTAAATTGCAATTTCTAAGGTAGTGTAATTATCTCTATTCCTTTTATATTTTATAAAATCAAATTACGAACCCAGAATTATAATGCTGAATTAATAATAGTAAACTATTTAAGTTTGTATTATGTATGTACATAATTATGTTTATAAATTAAAAATATTATTGCATATGTTTAGGCGAATTCATAACTGAATCAATAAAATTGAATAAATTAATATCGTAAAACAATTAATTACGATATTAAATTCAATTTTTGAATAAAGCTTGAGTAAAAATATGTATATAGGTATGTGCATCTAAACATAAAGTGCGGTAGCATTTAAAGCTCTTTTACAAATATATAAGCATTCGCTGTTATTAAAAATAAGTAGACTATTAATATTTAATTAATAAGTGTGTAGTTTAATTTTAGAATGATGTTTTATTTCTAAAGGCAACACTTCTCCTATTCATAGCTCACATATTGATGCTCATTTTTATTTTGTTTGGATTTGAATTTTTGAAGACGAAGTTGAGGAGAGTAAGGAAGAAATTGTGATAACCGCAAATATTTTATGTTAAGCGAGGTTTTAAAAGAAAAGTAATGTTTTATATAAGAGGAACTTTAAAGAATTAATTTTAATTTAATAGTGGATTTTTTTGTAGATCTGCTTCTTCATTTTTGCATAGTAGTTTTGGTTAAAGTGATTTTAAGAAAATTTTATGTCGTTTGTGTATAAACAGATAATTTTTTTTGAAGTAGTTTCCAAGTATATAAACTCCTGTCAACTGGACCATTTTATATTTTCGGTTATATTTAATGCCGTAATGAACGGACTCTTAAAAGATCTGAAACTGAACTCCAGGAACTGCACCTTTATTTAAACTTTATTTTCGTAATAAACTTTTGGGCAATTTCTTCAAAGGTCGTCCTACTTTGTTCTTTTTGAAATAACTTAAATAATGGTCAACCGCTCCTCAGATTTGAAATAATTTTACACAAAAGACTTTAAATTTTTCGATTAACTTTTGCGTTATGCTAATATAAGACTTAACGATATATACATAATGCTAGCATCATTAGAAAATTTGCATACTTGTTATGTGGTATTCTCCTTGTACTTTTTATACATACATTTATATGATGAATTCATAAGAATTTAATTAATAACAAATTATTACGAAATTTTGTTCAATTTTTAATGTTTTTTCTTAAATATTTGTACAAAATGTTATAACACAAATGTTATAACACAAGATATAAATATTTAAGAAGTAGTATTAATACCAACTTGATTAGCTTGCTAAAAAAATATAAAACAGTTAAAAAAATAACATTTCATCTGTAATACACAATTCCTAACATAACATTAATATAGATTTAATGTTACTTAACTTAAAAATAATAAAGAATAGAGAATCTGTATTGTTTAATATTTTTAAGTGTTCATTAGAATACCATATGTATTTGACCAAAATTATATAAATCTTTGCAGTTTTTCTTTAAGGCCAACAAAACTATAATAAATATCAAAGAAAAATATTATTTACATATGTACATATGCAATATATACATATACTTAATTACTATTAGTAATGACATGAAAATAACTGATATTCATTAGTAAGTTTATCGCACTTATTATTTAACAGCTATAATTATAACATCAGAGTACAATAATTACGATTTAATATTTATTATTGTTATACTGCCAGTGAATTAGATAAGTATATAAAAGAAAAATCAACAAATTAATTATATTTGATGTTGGTACGAATATAAGTATATAAAGTGGTAACAGATGTTAAAACGTTTTTGAGTTGGCATAAAAATGTAAATAAAAATATTACATAATTTTGTGTTTAAGAAAAATTCTGTTTAGAGGCGAGATTTTAAATTTTTTATCATTAATATAGCTGATGAAATATATCAGTCTATGTGTTTATTATAAAGAACTCTTTTCAAAGTCATAAGTTTTAGGCCATTTCTGTGTAATTCTGTGTTTTTCAAATTTTTTCACCATTACAGTTTTTTGCTTGAAATTTAAACTGAATGAAGACTCTTTGTATCTCTTTCCATTCAAACTTTATATATCATTCCAAATAACAAAAATTATTTAAGTTTTTGTCATAATTTTCTAATTTTTAATTTAAAATGGTTGTGTAAACAATTTTCATATGGTTATTTTTATATTGTTAATATTTTAAAATCAAAATTAAGTAGGATTTAACAGGAATTTCGATTCAATGGTTATAGAAAACACATTTATGAAACGGACCATATAATTATGGAAGATAACTTAAAGGTATTAAGAGAAGTAAAAGGAAAACACAGGAGAGAAGTTCATGAAAGCATGCAGATATGAAAATCAAACCAGAACTGCCTACTGAACACAGACGAACCTGACGCGGCTACTGGACCCTTTAAATTAATTATTTGACTAGTTTTAAGGATTAAAACAGGTATAATTTTAGTTTGTAATTAAAAAAAAAATTTTTTAATTAAATAATATTTCTAATTTTAATAAATTTTAATTTTATTGTTTGTTGTCTTAATTAGAAGAAAATTAGCTTTAATAAAGTGTGTATGTACCGCACGAAATATATTAGCAAAAATATAAAAAGTATTTTATTCCGAATAAAAGAGAGTTTTCTTAATGAAGCGTTTTGCCTGTTTAGATTTTTTAAGTTTAAGCTGTTTGATTAAAAATTTACAATTAATTAACTCCCTTACCAAACCTTAGCTATAATTAAATCATCCATTGGAAAAAATTCAAAAAATTCTAATTCTGATAAAATATGTACACATGTATGTATGAGTAAATTCATTTGGGTTTGAATAAATTTTAAAAAAATTTTTTTATATTTCGAATTTTATTATTTTTTACAATTACATTTTAATGGCTATTGAACTCAAATGTTACAACTAAATTTTAATATATGTAATTTGCAAAATGAATGAACTGTGCAAAGTCAATAAAATAGCATGTGTGATAATTGCATAATAATATTTAAGTTATAAAAAAAATTTTATTAAAATTATTATTTTTAAAGTCTATTGACTTATCTCGCTTTATTAAACATAAGAATTTAAAATAGACGTGAATATTTCCATATGTATGCAGAAAATAAGTACCTGTCTAAGTATACATGTAAAATGTAGAATTTTGAAAATTAAATATGTACAAGTATGTGTATATGTATATATATGTATATTTCTTTCATTTTTTAAATTTAAAATGTTTACTATTTTTTTTACTTCTTTTAACGCTACTTGCGAAATTAAGTAGTTTTGAGGACAATATTTCCATTTAAAAACATAATGAATTTGCGTTTTAGTTTTTTGAGTTATACTCATATATAGGTATGTGTGTATGTAGTTATTTTATGGCAAATTTATATTGAAATTTTGGAGAGCAAAGGTATGCAATGTTATTAACACAAATTCATTATCTTTAAATGTTATGCTAAAATAAGAAATGTTTTGTAATTGCCAACTCAATCGATGGTTTCTAATAAATTTTAAGAAAATTATATTGCCGTTCTTTTTCATTATAGCCAAAATTTTTAAAAACAAGGAGTTACAAACTAGGGTTTTATTTGCTAAAATTATTTATAATTGTGGTTTGGGAAAGTTTTTATATTTTTTAGTAATTTTCAAAAAATGAAAATCAATTCTAAGCATACCTCCGAACTGTGAGAGACGTCATTTAAATATGCAATACATTATTAGAGTGACGCCAAAATTATGTAACCCAAAGACCGAAGAGACCTTTTATGATTTTAGTTTTTTAAAATTTTAGAAACAAATTGAATTTTTGCAATTAAATATTAACTTTAAGTTGGAAAAGAAACTGTTCAATTTCTTGTAAGTTTTAGATTTTCCCGGATTTATCGTGAAAAATTAATAATTTTAAACAAACAATGAATGTTTATTCATTTTTTTTACTAATTAATTGTACATATTTTACTTATTTCATTTTACATATTGTAATGTACGTTAATATTGATAAATTGATTTTGTATGTGAGAGCTATTTTTCATAATCTTAACTTTAATTTTTGTTTATTTTACTTGGTATAAATAATATTTTGCTTATGCAGTTACCGATGCGATGCCTTAAAAGTTAAAATTTTTTTTTGTACCAAAATATTTTTCTATCAAAAATTGCAAGTTGTCTATCAGGTTTTTATTACATACATGTATACGAATATATAAAATTTTCTGTTTTTCTTTCCTATTTTTGTAGCTTTTTACCCCCATTAATATTAAATAATCCATAATTACCTTGAATAGATTTTCAAGAAATTATTTAAAGGCGATAACTTTTGAAAATTTACAGTTAGTTTTCAGTGATATTCCCATAAGAAAAGAAATAGAAAAAAATTTTATTAAAGTTTAAAAGGAAAAATAAGAACAGGAAAATATTTGATTAAATTTTTGTTTTTTTAAAGACAGTGTAAAAAGTGTTAAAAAAAATTGATTTCCATTCGAAAGGATACATCAATAAATTTATAACGGATATTTTATAATTCATTTCTCTTGACAGAAAACTCTAAAAAGTTGCCAGTAAATTGAATCTTTTTGCAGAACTGAGCGTAAGAATGATATTTTAAGCATTTGCCTTAAAAATTTTTCTTTTTAATTTTAAATTAAAATTTTTGTCATACAATAAGTGTAAAAATCAGTGTTACACAGTCTGTGAGAAGCAAATTTTCCCTAGTGTTTTTAATTTTGTGAAAAAAGAAGTCGAAACCAGTGCTTTATGCAAAATATTTCCAATAACAGAAATTTTTTGAAACAATCTAAAATTTCTGATTTTCTAATGATAATGCTTCATTTCTATTACTTAAGAATATTTTGTAGAATATTCGAAAATTTTTGTGTTCTCAAAATTTTATATAACAAATTTGACGCCCGATTATTGGATGACGAATATATTTTAAGTTTTGAGTTATTCTTGGGTTATATAATTGATTTTTTTTTTTCAAAAATTTTACATTAAAATTTATTAATTAAGTATTTTTTGTTTTCAATATGAAATTATGAATTGGACTTTAGAATGCCAAAATTTTCAAACCAAAATTCAAACAACTTCCCCAAAATAAAGTTCTCAAACTATTTAGCTTGATAAAGAAGACAGAATCTTGCATTATAATACATAGGTATATATATTTAAATAATTTCTATATTAGTGGGAAGGTCCAGTAAATTTATTTTAAGTTGGGCGTTTTTTTAATAGTTTATCAAAAATACATATTCTTGCAAATGTCCACAGTGTATGAAAAAATACATTTCTTAATAATTTTCTAATCGTTGACTCGATTAAGAGCTACTTTCCATAGACGACTAATACGACTGGTCTCTGATAAACTTAGAAAATATTAGAATTTTGGGTTAAATTTCAAATATAATCGGCTTGATTATTTCGGCTAATTTCTACTTACGTATAATAAAATTATATATATAGAATTAGCATATTGATTATAATAAAGTTGTATTTGATATTCTAATAAAGAACGTAATATTATTCAAGTTAATTAATAAAACTGTGTCGAACGTCAATTATTTGTCTTCTTAGAGTTGCCATATTTATTTAAGTGTGATGCAATAATCGTACATAAATGTACATTATATATACCGTTTAGATCTTATCAATTATAAAATATAATGTTAAAATAATTTTTGTTTAAAGGAAATTAGAACAAAAAAAATTTTGTTGATGGTATGATTGTGGTCAAAAATGCAGAAAAAAAAATCTCTGCATAACTAGTTTTTAAAATGTAGGTTAAATAATTTTTAAAGTGCAAAAGCAAACAAACTTTAAAATGAACGCATAATCTTAAATCAAATTGTATTGTAAAAAAAGTATGTATGTGCAATTGTGTATAACTTACGTTCAACATGCAGTTGAATTTTTTTTTTTGTGCAAATTACAAGCGATCATTTTAGCGATTAATACAAAAATTAGCGAGCTTTTTGTGATTGGTTTTACGGAAAAACAAAAACAAAACAAGAAATCGGTTGGTTCGAAGTTATGTTATTTTACATGGTTATTACATTTTTATCTGTTATACAAATTAAGTAATACTTTTTGTTTTTAGTTTTTTTTTTCGTATTTTTGTTTTTTTACTTTTAAACTCGTAACACGAAATAAGTATAGTATCGATTGCACAATGTTAAGAATAAATTAAAACGGGAAAATGTCGGTCAACGCATGAGTGCTTAAATAATATTGTTAAGGTGTTAGTTACCATTTTTATGAATTATTGTCTGAATAAATTATAACAGTTTCTGTTAAATGCTGTCTGTTAAGTATATAATTTTTAATATGTAATATTAAGTATGTGTATTTGGTTTTTTGTTTTTTTATAGTTGCATAAAATAATTAATTTTTTTTTATTCATTTTTATTCTGTGAAAGCTTTCAATTATTTTATGTGAAGGCTTAAGTATGTGTATAAGCACAAATGTACGGTAAATGCAAATGCAAATTGTGAAAAAAAAATTGAGTGTGATAAAAAATTTTGTAATAATTTTTTATGTAATTTATAGAATTTTTTTTATTTAATATTTTTATTTTTAATTTATTTTACAGTGTTTTTTCAATTCTATTCTTAAAAATGTTAAGATCAGCGTTAGTAATGCATGAAATTTTAAATAATATGGAATATTCACAAACCGATTGTAAATCTTATAATGATCCAAAAAAATTAATTGTAAAACCGAAGGGATACAGATGGGAATGGGTTTGGTATAGAGCTATTGGTTTACCTGTTATGCATTTAATCGGTTTCTATGGAATTTATATAATGGTCGTTAATTTATACTGGGATTTGTTGATATACAGTAAGTATTTTTCTGAATATTGTTAAGAGTAGAAGCATTTAATTTTGTGTTTTCTACGAGTATATGCAAGAAATTTTTTTTGATTTAAATAATAAATTTATATTTATAAAAATTAAAATTCAAGATTCTTTTAAAAAAACTTATGACAAAATTTGCGGTAGAGCATAAAAATTAATACAAAGTGATCAGTAATAAATGCTTTTACGTTAGTTTTAATTATTTAAAAAAAATTGTGACTATTTAATTATAATATCCGAAATAGGTGTGTTTTTGGGAATTTTAAGTGGATTGGGAACAACAATGGGCGCACATCGTCTATGGACTCATAGAGCATATAAAGCTAATGCACCAATGAGATTTGTTTTAGCAATATTTCAAGCGATGGCATATCAACGTTCAATATTAACATGGTCACGGGATCATCGATCACATCATAAATTTTGTGATACCGATGCTGATCCACATAATTCAACAAGAGGTTTTTGGTATTCTCATATTGGATGGATAATGATGAAAAAACATCCAGATGTTGTAGAAAAGGGTAAATTAATTGATATGAGTGATTTAGAAGCTGATCCAATTGTAATGTGGCAAGATAAGTAAGTTTTTATTTTTATAAAAGAAAATTTATTAAAATTAAAAATAGATAAAAATTTTTGGCATTAATCAATTTCTTTTACTTTTCAGATATTATTATGTAATAATGCCATTGATTGGATTTGTTTTTCCAGCAGTTTCAGCATATTACATTTGGGGTTATCCATTTGAACATTGTTTTCTTATATGCTCACTCTTAAAATGGCTTTATGTGTTAAATGTTTCTTTTTTTGTAAATAGTGCTGCACATTTATGGGGTACAAAACCATATGAAAAAACTGTAAGCTCAAGAGAAAGTCCACTTGTAATTGCATTAGCAATTGGTGAAGGATATCATAATTTTCATCATATATTTCCATGGGATTATAAAGCATCAGAATTTGGAACATTTTTTACAAATATGTCTAAATATTTTATTGAAATCTGTGCGCAACTTGGTTAGATAAATAATTTATATGTATTTTGTATTTTGATCTAAACGTATGTTGTTGTTTTTTAATATTTTAGGTTGGGCTTGGGATTTAAAAACTGTATCAGAAGAAACCTTACGAAAACGTATTGTAAGAACTGGTGATGGATCACACTGTACATTGAAAAAAATTGAAGAAATGAATGTTAATGAATTGATACGTGAATTAGACGCCACAATAGAACACGATAAAAGTTTAATTTGGGGTTGGAATGATAAAGACTTGCAAGAAGATTTTAAAAATACCGCAAGGATTATGTACCGTGGTGTTTTATAAGTGATTTTTCACTGTAAAAAATTTTTTTGTAAATAAGATCTTATTTTAGAAGTAATTTTTTCATAAAGAACTGGAATTTTACTCTTTAATTATTAATTAATTTAAAAATATAATTTTTATGTATATTAAATTTTATGTTATAATAATTAGTCAATAAAAAAGTTCACATAATATTTTATATAGATTTACAGTTATACAAATGTGTGGGGGACATTTTTGGTCATCTATCGAAATCAGTGTATTATATGTGCAATAAATTGTACTAGAAATTCATCAGGTAGGTTTATATTGGTGATATATAAAAATATCCGAATATTTGTAAAATGTTAACCCCGCTTATATACACATAATGTTTATTTTATGATATTTTGCTCTGAAATCGGAGAGTGAAATTGAAAATTCAACATAAAGCAAATTATCGTTATGAGAGATTCTGAAAATGCATACCTCGTAGTCTTCCTACCTATAGTTACTGTTCTGAGTAGCGTGTTGTTATTCGGATTTAAGTTTGTATTGCTAATTTGTATTGAGAAAATTCAATTTGTTTTTCACTTCTGGTATAGCTCTATAACAATTTTTTTATTTCTTTTGGGTAATTAGGTTACGAACTGGAAATTTATGTTGATATTACGTTCATCATAAACAAAACCCGAAAAATTAAAAAGCAACTATTATAAGATTGAATTTTCGATTATTTTAGTAGACTTGCTTAAGTTTAATTTGAAATAATGAATTGTTGGTGGTGTAAAACGTTCTCAATTAAACTCATTCGTATCGTAAAGAATAAACACAAAATAATTAAAAATTGCATGTTAAATACCTATTATATAATAAACGGTAAAAATAAAATTTATTTTTTATTTATGTAACATAGAAAATAAGTGCTTTGCATAGTATTTATAAACTATACATAATCTGAACGAGAAGAATGGATTAATTGCAAATTTGAAATAATTTAAAGAAGTAATATGATGGTCAAAATATAACGGTATTTGGAAAAATTCCTTTCGTAAACATTGAAAGCTGAATTTTTGTTGGATAGAATAGCTTTATAGTAGAGATCAGTTACATATATTGCTTTAGAGCATTCCGTAACTTAGTTTTGTAAAAATGTACTTTAGAAATATTAAATGATGCGTGTAATCTATTTTATGTCAGTTAGACTACTTTATTCTTTATGAACATTGTACCAGCATTACTATAAATTTTAAAGATAATTCTTTCGTGCAAGGTTTTATGATTGAACGATAAAAATTCATGATTCAAATTTCAGTTTTCTAATATTAGAAAATGCAACTTAAAATGAAATTATTTACATCCTTTCGTTTTAAAGTGCTTTATAAAAATTTCATTAGTTAAAATTTGATAAGGAATTGAATTTAATAAATTTCGAATTGTTAGTCAGCCATTTGAGAATCGGTTTACCTTTCTGTGTCGTATTTATATTCATTTTAAAGACACAAACTTTTCTTTTAGACTTATCCGTACTTGTGGCTATTTATTGTGACAAACTAGTGGCACAAATAAGAAAATTAAATATCGAATTCAAAACTTCCGGTTGAAAACTTAATAAAAGCACAAAGTTTTTCTTACATAGCATACTAGCAAAAATTCATACCTCATTTTCGTTTTAATATAAAATTTAACACGATTAAACCTTCAATATAAAATTTCAATTTCGACTTCATTGCAAATATGATATTTTGAGAAAATATTATTATAAAATAACAAATTAAAAATTAAGCAGAATACAAGTGAATAAGAAGTTTACCGTTAATTAATTAATTAATTAATCGTAAACTGGCTATTCAGTGTTACTCAATTTATTAAAAGAGAAAAATCAAAATGTTGTTAATTTAATTAGTTTGCCTTTCTTTTAAACCATGGAAAAGCGTTCACATTGGCTAAAACCGGCTCTGTTCGTTTTAATTAGGAGGTTTTAATAATTTTTTTTATTACATATAATAATTTTCATAATTTTTAATTACAAACGATAAACGTAAGTTTTTTGTAGCTCTTGTTTGTTTTAAAAAATTCTTAAACATTCAATTTAAAAATCAATTAAATTTTTCCATTTAAGTTGCTCTATTCTTTTTCTTTCTTTTATTTAATTATTAATTTTAACATTTCTCTTTGTTCTACTTTGTTATAGCTTAGATACTATAAAATTTATATTCTAGTTAAATTAAAATAATTTGTTTTTTTCTCTTATATATTAGAATTTTCTTTGCAAAAATAAAACACATCATCTTGTTCTTTATTTGAATTACCATATTAATATTAAATTTTTAATGATAACCTGGATGATTGTATGCATAATGAATAATATCTGAATCATTATTTAATGCTGTTGTACGTGCTGCATATAATAATGCTGCAAGTAATGCACCTTTATTCAATAGAGCTGACATAATTGTTGCCATTTTAAAAGCTGGTAACATAAATGGTAAAAATGTTCCTAATAAAATTGCTGGCATCATTAAAACTGGAACAGCCATTTGTATCATTGTATGCTTATAATTATGTTTTTTATTTTTATTCTTTTTACGAATTTTATCATCTTTACGGCGTGCTGTTATAATATCAGTATAATCACTATCATCATTTTCAGATACTCGAACATCTAAATACATTATAATATTTAAGAGAAGATTTTAGTTTGAAAATATGTATAAAATTTTAAAATATATAAGAAAATTGATTAAAATATAAAATTTTATTGAAAATATGATTTAGATTTGTTTTAATAATTAGGTACGCGTATAACAAACTATAATAATTGAAATATAATAAAGCTATAATATGCTTAATTATCATGTTATGACCATAATTTTAATATATGTACTTAACTATAATAAATTAATTAAGTCTATATAAAGAAGATTGCAGTCAAATGGATGTAACTCGCGCTGCATAAATAATCATTAAATAGTTATAAACTGTTAATACTTATATTTATGCTCATTAAAGACTACATGACAAATACATTATGGTCGTTATTATGATTTAATAAATAATAATAATTATAATATATTATGTAAGTTTTAAATTTATGATAGTGCTGTAGTCTAATGAATGTAGAAAATATTCTTTTATTTTTCTTAAATTATTGAAAATATTAAGTTAAATTGAGTTGATATTTATTTAAAGGTTAATATTTATTTAAATTGATTTCATTTCTAATTTTTTTTAATCCGATTTGTCAAAATTCAATAAGTTCTAAACTAAAGAAAATTAATTGAATACTATGACCAGAAATATTTCATCTACATATACTGCTATAAATATCACACTAACAAAATTAATATTTCCAATACGGATACAATTGCTCTACAATATCAAATGGGCACTATAACTAAATGTGCCTGGTAAAGTTTTTTATTATATTTACATTATTTCTAAGCAAACGCTGCTTTATTTTTCTAATTTTTATATTAAAAACAAGACTACATATGTTAATTTGTTGAAGCCTCACTAAGATTTTTCTACATTACCTCAGCATATTTCTAATTAACTAAAAATATCATAAAATATAAGAAATAAGAAGTTTTGTAAGGACTTGGAAATGATCATAAAGACAACAGTAACCAATTGCATACTTTAATAATTTTGTAAGAAATTTTATATTGATTTAAGTTCTTTAATATTTTAAGAGACACTATGAATTAATTTTTTTATAATATTAAGATATTGTTCCGTCGTTCAAGATTTAAAGCACAATTTAAAGGTAGTATGCACATACTCTTGAGGAAAAATATGTAGCTTTTTACATACAAAATTACAAAATTTTTTCGAAAGAAAACTTCAGAAAAAATATGTATCTGTATGAAATATTGTGTATTTTTGCCTATTAGTAACAATTACACAACTATTAATTACACAGATTTGAATAATGAAAATGTTTTTGCTAATTTTTCGAACAAAGCTCAACAAGAACTTTCCTACTCAGGCAGTAAAATCAAAGGAAAAAACAAAAATTCATTATTTTTGAACAAATTGAAATTTTGAATTTCAAAATAAAAATTGAAAAAATTTTCATTTTGGTTTTGAAATTTGACAAATTAAGTTTCTTTTTTGAAAATGAAAGTTTTCCTTACGTTTTCTTGGTTATTGTTCTTTTAATTTTTCCGTAAAATTTTTACAAATCGGTGTACTATCACTAAGTAGCGTCTAAATCAAATATAAAAACAACTGCCAACGTACATATAACTAGATTTTGACAAATTTAATTCAAAAATGTTCTAATTATCACAATGCTAGTAAAAATTTTGTTATTTATTAACAATTTTCTTCAAATTTTCTCAATCATTTGCAAATATTTATATGCACATATGTACAAACATACATATGTATGTATATACATTTTAAATATTCTATACTTACTTTTGTTATTTTTTACTGTTAATTTTATTCGATTTTCTGTACTTGGAACAACTTGTACCATTACACCGGGTATAAAGTGTAATTTAATATCACGATCTTTGAAGAATTTTTGAAAATGAAAAATTAATCGATTTGTAAGTTCAGTATCACTTACATTTTTATAACGTTTATCAGTTAAACTTGGATAATTTTTATCTTCATTGAAAAATTGTTCCATAAAATCTTTTGTTAAATTACCAGTATTTGTAAAATTTGCTTTACTTTCCATTTTTTGTAATAGGAATATTTTCATACAACGTAAAATACTTAGTTTTCGTATACATTGAAATATTCTTAATGGTATTGATGTTCGTATATAAGTTGCACTATCAACTAAACCTCCAATATTATCATTATTTTGTTGTTGTTTTCTATGTTTATCATTTCGAAATTTTTTAAAATTTGTTCTCATACTATATGATCCTCTTGGAAATTCCTTAGATTTTTCAATAATAACTTCATTTTCTTCATCAGATATATTGTCATCGTTGTCCTCAACTAATCCTTCCAAATCACTTAATTCTATTGTTTGTTGAAAAATATTATTTTGTTCATTATTATGTTGATATTGTACTATATTTCGGGCAGAAATTGTAGGTTGAATTTTTATCAAACAAATTATTACTAAATTAAGAAATAAAATGCTTGTAGACTGTGAATTATATTTTAATAAACTCATTATTTTTGTTTTTTTTGTTGGTTGATGTTTTTTTTATAATTGATTTAAAACAAAATGAATATTCTAAACTTTATTTTTCTTTAACTTGAAAATTAAAATGTAAAAAATATTTATTAATAAAATGAAAACCTGTGACTCTGTATGAGGTTCTAAATATACTGAAAATTAAAAATGAATCAAAACGAAAATAAACTAAAAGAAGAAATTATGAAAAGGATAGACGTCGGGCATCGTGTCGATACCGGCATACTGATTTGTGGTGTTTTTTACATGTAAAATAAATATTAAAGAATATATGAGGAAAATGCACGATATTGAAATGTTATCTTTGACAATAAACTTAAAAGTATGAAATAATCGCACTCTACTCTTTTTTAGACAAAGTATAAAAGATTTTCATTTATTTTTTTGAAAACCTTAAGTTGTACTTTTGCAAAAGTTACAGAACATATTTTTTAAGTAAGAAAATATTAAGGGGCTGATTTATACATATAATTATATGTATGTACATAAATTTGTACACAAATATGTTCTCGAAAATGTTATTACACTTTATTAATAGTTCATAAAATAATAATTAACGAGTATCAATAATTTATTTATTCGGCTTTTTTAATTTTTAAAGTAGGCATTCTTATTATTAAGTGAGCTTCCTCTTCTAATTTTTCAAAAATTTATATAAAAATACTAGTACAATGTACAAAATGAATATATCTAAAACTAACTCATTATTTCAAGCTAAACATGATAGAAAATCAGCTATAAATGAAATATGTGTAAAAGGAAACTATAAAGAAAAATCATTTTCTTCTTAATTCATTCAATAACAAGTTTTTTCTTTATACAATTTACTGAAAATAAATGCAACAATTGGTTTGATTCAACAGACAATAAGATATAAAGTTTGCATTTTGGAATGGCGAATTATCGATTTATTGTGCATATATTAAATAAATCATTTGATGATTTATTCAAAATTTAGAATGTCATAAACTAAATAATAAGAGTAAGGATCCTCCATATTTATATTTATTTCAATAAAAATTGATTTGGTTCCGGTAATTCTAAGATCAAAAACAGAATTTAACATATATGAAACAATCCTGTAACAGAAATTGTATGAAATTATTATTGGGAAATTATTTATATGACTATCATTTCGAAAGTCTGGTTAAGTCTTAAACGCTAACTAAAATAGTCATTTTTAAACGCTATCTAAAAAATTTTCTAGCATTTAATAACTGGCTAGTGTAAACATATGAAGTATATGTTTCAATTTTAATTAGATTTCTTAATTTTTTTTTAGCATACTTTAACTCTTGGTAATTTAACCGAATCACCATAGCAATAATAAAAGAAAATGATTTCCACTATGGGGGATTTTTGATAGTTCACTAGTTCGGCTTTTTGTTCTAATTTTTGTCATAATATAAAGAACGTTCGATAAACTCAAAATGTAAAATCTGTTCGAAAATGACACAGCTTTGCTTAAAGTTTTAGAGCAATTCTTAAGTTTTTTTCATAATCAGTGCAAAAATATTATTAATTTGAAAAATAGCATTGTAGAAAACAGTTGGATATGTAAGAATTGCTAGAGTATATGTTACAAATGTACAAAAATTTCTGCAGATTTGTAAGTAGCTTGTAAGCAGAAAAGACTTATATAAGATTTCATTTTGAAATTTTAGCGCATGTCTGAATTATTGAAAATCCTCATGATTTTTTATTAGATTTAGAAAATTTAAATTTCAAAAATTGTTTCTAACTCTAGTTAGGGTTCAAGTTTAAATTTTAAATTATTAGAGTTTAAAACAGTAGAATTTAAACTTTTCTATTTTATTATTTAGGCCAAAATAGCTTTAAAAACTCAAAAATTTTTTAAAAGTAAAAGATTTAATAATAAAATTTTGCATTTTTTACCGCCTAGGTATAAATTTAAGATAATTTTAATTTTGAATGATAATGTACTCAAAAATTGAATTACAAACGAAAAAATCAATTCTATATGCAACTTATTAATTTTTACTTTAATGTATAGAATACCATAAAAATTGTTTTCTTGATCATTTTCTTACTATTTTATTGTATGTAAGTATCTAAGTAAAGGCAATACAAAATAAGAAAAAAGAACTTGTTACTGATCTTCTTCTTTTCTCTATATAATAAACATTTTATTCTATACAATAATTTCTAATTTCACTTAAATAAATAATTGAATTTCAATCAGAATTACACTTTTAAACAGGTTATTTTTGATATCAATATTCTCATTTCATTGTTTTTTTTAGGTTAAAAGTTGAACGGAATCAAGGTCGATTTTTTATTGAATTTTCTTTCTCACAAATTATTTTATTAGAACACACTAGACTAGATTACTTTGAATCAGGATTTTATTTTCTTTGTTTTTTTTTTTTAATTATTTATTATAGTTCGAGTTTGTAAAGACATTTTTGTTTTAAAAAAAAGTGGGCTTGTATTTAATAAATATGTAAGATTGGCATTAATAAAATAAATATAATAAATAAAAATTGTTATATTAAAAATTATAATAAAAGTAAAACATGCTTTTATTAAATATTTTGATCCTTTTCTTTTTTTTTAATTCAAGAATTCCAGAAGTGTTAATAAATCTGATAAGAAAAATCTATTATATTTTATATTTTTGTATATATTTATGGTATATGAGAATAAAATTACATGAAACTTTCGCTAATTTATTTATTTTAATAACGAAAATTAAGATGTAAACGTTTAAACTTATAAATATTAGATGAAGAATATTAACAAGAAATTTATTAGGTTAAACGAATAAAACAACTTTCCTTTCGGGCTAGTAGTTGATACATTGTAAATCACAATCAAGATATTGAATAATTTGAATTATAATTGAATCTCTTCACAATTAAAATCAATTTTAAGCATCATAAACTTTATATTTAATTTACATTTTTAAAAAAGAAAATTAACCTATGAGAAAATCTTGCTTTTTAAATATTCGCCAGTTTCTTATCCTAATGATTCAAAATCGCACACAATTATATATGTAAGCTCAATTAATTTTATTCATTTAGCAATTGAAGAGGTAAGTGAACAAAGGGGTTAACTTACATTTGCATTGTAACACATTTTTTCATTAACAAATTGTAAAACTATTAATTTTTTTGTTACTTATCTCCTGTGCTATGTGCTAGTTTCTAGCTATAAGAGTAATCACATTTGAAAATATTTGAAATTTAATGATGTTCTATCCGAAAAGCTCGATTTTCGTCAAAATGTTAGTTAACTCCTTTGTCCACTTACATCTTCAATTGTTAATTTTGTTCTTAGACATATTTCCTCTATATACAAAAATTGTATAGATTCACCATATTGTCGAACAATTAACATACAATTTAATGTGCAATTTATAAATACATTCATATAATATAATTCTAATTCAACTTTCTTTTTATAATTGCTATTAAAATAATATTTATTAAAATCATAATTAACATATTAATTCAATTAACGGATTTTAAGTAGCGTATAACAATAATATAAAATTCCATTACTTTTACCTTTTGCCCTCATTAACCATTTTTAATAATTTTTTTTTTTAAATTTACAATATACAATAATGCAGAAAATATATTTATAACCGGAAATCTTTCAATGAAAGTGAAGAAAAATATATTTGGTTAAAATTTGATTTTCATTGTCATTTTCGGCATTGAAAATTATTATACAAATTATTTACAGTCACAATGTGTGTGTGCGTTTGTTTTGTATTTGATTGAAAATTTCAAAGAATTTCATTTTTTTTGATAGGGCAGTATTTTTCGTGTTAAACTCAGTTACTAGCTATACTTTCAAGAATTTTACATTTAAAATTATGAAATTTCACTAAATGTTAATTGTAATACTGTGTAGGTATGTATGAGCACATGTACAAAGGAAAGAATGATAATTGTGTATTAAAGTACAATATAAATAACATTATGGCTTTATGAAAAAATGTAGAGGAAATAAAATTGAAGAGAAAAAAAAATGTTAAAACATTAAAATTCCATTCGCGACTCAATAAAATTATAAAAGGGTTATGATCATTTCTTTACGCAAAACTCTACGCATTTTGTATGCATATTAGATCTATTTATATTCATATTATTATAGATTTAGACATACATACATACATATGTATTTATACACACATATCAGAGGAATATTATTACAAGAAATTGTTTTGTACAGGGTGTCTAATATAATTTCGGAAATCATTTGACTTATCAATTACAATAATCATAAAAAAATCCAATTATAATTGGTTATGAGTACAAGATGACAAAAATAAAAGGGTCTATATGCACAAGGTCTATTGCATTAACTATTTTCACTTTTCAACTTTTTACTAAAATAGTATTCTTTTTATAAATATAGTAACTATAGTGAAGTTCATTAGTGTTCTGATTCTTAGTTCAATTGGGAATTTGGGAACTTTTCTGATTAGTTGATGAAATAAAAGTAAAAATTGGTTGATGCAATTTATATTTTATAAATTTAACTGTAGCACTGTCATATTTATCCATTTATTATTGCAAAATACTCTTCACTAAGAATGAATTCGTATTGAAGCGTCTTGACTCTTGATATAAAATGACAATTCAAAACTTAACGAATGTGATTCGCGTTGTTTAAACTGATAACATGAAATGCTAAAAATTGATTTTTTCCAAAATAATAACAACCTTATGTGAAATACCCTGTTTATTTAATAGTTCCGTTTAATTATACTACTTTTATACTATTTTTTCAATAATTGCTTTAAAAGTTAATGAACTTGATTTTAAGTCTGTAATGCTAATTTTTTAAGTAACTGAATCAAATCATCAACCATTAATTAATTTACTAAATGAAATTTAAGTCTTTATAATTTTTGCCTTTAGATAGGAGTACTGGATACTTCACAAGAGTGAAATTTTGAAAACCTGTAGGATAATTTTTCTGTAGGTAAATATTAGTGCGATATATTCCACGGTTACTTCAAACTTTAAAATTACATATTTTTCATATATGTATGTATGCACATGTACACATATATAAGTAGTTCATAAGCAATTTTATTAATTAAATTGTAAATTCACAAAACAAATTCTAAAATAATTTGAAAAAAGTAAAAAAATCAAAACAGTCACGTGCTATTCATTACAATTTTAATTTAATTGAAGCAAAAAATTAGCATTTTCAGGCACTTCACAACACCATAAAGTGTACTAATGTATCATATAAAGTGGTTAATTCTTTGTACATAACTATAATGGGATATATTTAAAATTTTTCTACACCAACTTTGTATTATCGAGTACTCCCTCTATTTATGTTTTTAAATACCGTAACTTCGTGACGTATTCGCGTATTGTTAAAATAATTTCTTTTTTATTTTTTGTTTTCAGTTTCTTTTATAGTATAAAAAACAAAATATTTATATAGTGTACATGAAATAAGACCAACGTGACACAGCCATGTTAGTTCCAAAGTCATATTACATTTCATTATTTTTAGTGTTCAAATGTTCCATAATTTATTTTATTAAACTTATAATATAAGGTCTAGTACAAATTAAGCAGTCATACTCTTGTTGCGTGTTTTCTTTCCAGAAAGCTTACAAAAGAATTAACTGCTACCATGTCCATTCTTTGACATTCACGTTTTGACAACTGTATACGAGTTATTATCTACTCGATAACACTCTTCACGAGGTAAAAATTAAACAATAACATAGAATAAATTTTAATAAATAATAAGTTCCTATAATAGTTTTAAAATAAATCGATTAAAAAATAACTGAACTATTATTTCAAACGTCAAAGCATGTGCTGCAATTGATACCACTTGTCAAAAATTCCAATAAAAGAAGAGCACGAAGCTCTTTATTTTTATTAAGAAAAATGTTAAAATTTATTTATTTGTTTTAATAAAATTTTTGTATTTATTCAATATTTTCTATGTTGTGGCAGTTAGGCTTTTTTTCATGACATTAATTGATTTTATTGAAAACAATGCATTGGAAATTGACTTAAAAAATTAATTTTTATTATAACTTCTTTTTTTGGGTGTTCTAATTTGAAAAATTTTCTTTACTGTTAAAAAATTCATTTGGGGTGGTTAAAATTAACGACAGCATAAAATACCTAGACACATGACAAAATTTTGTCAATTTTAAACAATCAGTGTTGCGGTTTTGATTAAATTTTATTTTTCTTCAATTTAATTGATACCAAAAAAAAAATAAGGATTAAAATACAAAATGGCCGCAGGACAAAAAATCGTTTTTACCGTTATTGTATTATTATGTATTTTCGGTTCTAGTTATTGTGAAGAAGAAACGATCGATAATGATACAAATGTCGCCGGTATGTGAAAAAATATCAGAGTAATTTTAATAATTTTTTTTTATTTTGGTCTAACAAAGGAATAAAGGCAGTATTAACATAAAATATGAATTTTTAAAACTTAATGAAAGATATTAAAAAGTTGAAAAATTTTTTATCAAAAGCGTTGAGGAACAACGATCTTTAGAATTAACTGTACATTATATAAATATGTGTTATAAAAAATAATATTTGGAACTAATTAAAAAATATAATATTGAAAATTTTAGAAGTTTCTTAGAAATTTAAAGTAGAATTATAGAAATGTTTTAAAAAGTTCTGTATTTTAAATTCAAACTTTATTTTTTATGAACATTTAAAGGAATGCATTTTATATTGTTTATATGTATTTTAAATTCAAACTTTATTTTTTATGAACATTTAAAGGAATGCATTTTATATTGTTTATATGGCAAAAATTTTAATTAATTCATAATATTTAAAAAAAATTCTTATATGATAAAAGTTTAATATTCGAGTATTAATCATAGATAATTTTTTTTTTCTTTTCATTTACAAATTAAAATCTTAACAGAAGGACGTACGTTTGGACATCATTTTTTAAAAAGAATTAGTTTTGCAATTGTTCCAGCTGCTTTTGTTGTTGGTGTTATTACTACTTTACTTGCTGCATTGACTGTTGTGTCTATGAAAGGATTAGGTGTAGGAGTAAGTATTGTTTTTTTTTCATGATATTCAAATTGGTGATCTCTTTATTTAAGATCAAGCAAATTATTTAATTTGGATGTTCGTTTAATATATGAAGTTATTAACTTTTTTCAAATATAATTAATTATTATAATTTTAAATATACATAATACGAGTATTAAACTTCTTAAAAATTTCACTAAATTTAATTTTCACTTTGTTTCGTTAACCTTTAACATTTTTAAAGCATTATTTTTGGAAGTAATTTTTACCTAAATTATTTTGGAAATTTATGAATTTTTCTACTTGTATTGTAGTGTTTAGTATTGTAATTAATTTGAAATTTTTAAAAACATAACATAAACAACATGATATGTAAACTAAATTGATTATCAACTCCTACCGTTTCTCTTTATTTTATGTATAAATAAATCTGTTTCAAATTATAAATATTAGAAATAATTAAGATAAAGTTCTAATTATTTTTGTAAAGAATTATTTAATTTTGTGACAATTAAAAAAATTCATAAAAGTTATTATTTAAAATCCATATTTCAATGAATTTTTCCAGAAATGACAATTCTTGACAGAACACTTACTTTAAACACAATTTTAATTTATTCGTTTAATTTATTTAAAATTTTTTTTCCAGGTTATACTTTTAATCCTTACAATTGGTCAAATGTTAGCAAGATCACTTCCATTCGGTCATATATTTGCAGCACCAGCAGCAGCTCATGTTCATGCAGCTGCACCACTTGCGCATGTACATGCTGCAGCACCAGTTTGGTTTGAAAATAAATGGTAAAAATATTATAGAAAACTTCAATCAATTTTTAGATGAAATTTAGTTTTATAACGTAAAACAAAAACAAATAATTTTAGGATTTAGAATATAAAAATGTAAAACGAATTTGAAAAAAAAAAAAAATTGTATGACTTGTCATGTACAGAGGCAGCACTCATTGTCTAGTCCCGTAAATGTTAATATTATAATTTTATTTATTTAATTTATTTATTTATTTATTATATATTTAACTGATGTTAAAAGATATTGGAATACAATAAGATAAATTATGATTTTAAGATTTTAAAATTTAAAAAGAGATTTTATACTATATTTATTTTAAATTTAATAAAGAAAGTGGAAATGTCCATGAAGATTACATGTCGAAAATCGAAAAACAAAGAAACGTCAATCAATGAAGTTTTATTTTGTTATAATATATGTATGTGTTTAATTTCACTTATTTCCAATAGATGTCATAGTTATACATTAAGACTTAACACTCAACTCTTGTAATTTTGTAATTAAGTTCTTATGCATTGCTCGTTGTTGTGCATTATTAAATATTAAGAGTTTTTTTAAATTTAAAATTTTTTCCTTTTTCTATTAAAATTTTCTAATCCCAATCTTTTTCTTTTTTGTTGAAGGAGAAATTAATTTCAAGGAGTTCTATTGAACTTATAGATTTGAGTAAAAGATTTAATTGCAAAAAATCCCCTAATTCTTTAGGAAATTAAAATATATTTATGTAAAATATTATATACATGCATACACATCAGGGCTTACTATAAAATAAAATATAAATTAAATTTTCGTGTTACTTTGAGTACAACGGGTGTCAAAAGGAGTTCAAGAGAAAGTACATTTGTTTTGGTGAAAGTCCAAAATAATTCACACCATTCTTTTTTGTTTATGTTACTATTTTCAGTTTTTGCGTTTCTTCTGAAAATTTCCTGATGGCTTTATTCGTCACGTTATTTTTGTACTTGAATTAACGGTATTAATCCATGAAATTGTACATGTATAATAATATATTTACATACATATATCCATATATACACCAAATACATATAATGAAAACACTTTGTGACATCTTAATTTAAAAAATTAATTAATTATTCAGATTAAGTTCTTTCTTAAAACACTTTGTATTAAAATTCGATTTATTCTATGGAAGTAATGAAATGAAAACAAAAAGAAATCAAAAAATTATTGGTTTAGTATCGGGCTGATTTACAAAAATAAAATTGGTTCTGTTCGAATATTTTCGATTTATTTAAGTTCTGTGTGCCAATTTTCATTTAAATTTCTTTTTTAATTTTTTTCTATTCGAAATGTTTTCTTTTTGGTAAAGTTTTTTATGATTTTTCAATCGTGTTTTTTTTGTAATGAAATTAGTTGTTCTTAATTTATGACTGAAGAAAACAAATTGTCATTGACATTCAATAATAGACTGAACGCTTCAGTATTACTTCTTTTTGTTTTTGAATTGTTGTTTTCAATGCTAAGGATTCAAGGTCTTATATCATAACATAATGTTCTACTGATAATAATAAATCTGAGTATAAATATGAATTTGAATGAAAATAAGCGGAATCGCGCTTTTGTTTATTTGTTTAAGAAAAATTGGACAAGTTTATGTTGGTAAATGATTCCTCAATTTAAATACTAGAAATTTTTGAACTGAATTTTGAAAAAAAAAAATTGCATAAATTTTTCCATTGATGCCCTAAGAACTTTAATGATTGATGATAATCTCTTTTATGAGTTCTCGGAGCATGGTTTCATGTTACGTGTAATGTTTAGCTGTACAAATTAAAAACGGCTATTAATTATTAAAAGGGTAGCTTCTGTGTAGGATTTTTTTTAACTAGCCAAGTCTATTAGTAATGACATTTGTTATTGACATGCTTTTGACGAAATGTTAGAAAGATTAAAATGTAAAAACCGCTAACTGGCTTAAAAAACTTACGACCATATACTTCTATTGCCGTACCGTAATATTTAAGTTTTTTTTTTTATAATTTATCACTTTATACAAAGCAGTGTGCTTTCTATACTTTTATTTCAATAAATATATTATTGTGTTTTTGTACTTTTCGTATTTTAATGTCCTTCAATATATCTTATATATTTTTAAAAAAATAAAAAATTTATATAAAAAATATTTTAAAAAAAATATTGTTTTTCACTTTTGCCTTTCAAAAATATTTTTAAATTCTATATAACAGTGTTATATCAAGGATATTCTATGCGATCTTGAAAGTAGATAATGAGTCAAATTGAAATTAACAATGATGGCTCGTCTCGAAAAACAAATCTGATATATTAATCAGTCTGACACATTCTATTTTATATGAATCTTATATTCAATAGGGTATCTAGGTTATAGAAAAGAAAATATTATGTTTTTAAAACTGGTTGTGAGAATAAAATATTTATTTTATAAAGTGTTCATGTTATTGTCGACTCTATTGTAGTATATTGTAGACTGCCTTTAAATGGAAATTTGAATTTCAGAAGGTCATGTACATTGTTATATAATTTTGATACAATATAATGAAATTTATATAACATTGTTAATATACAGGATGTCTTGTATTAAAGAGCACTGCTATATACCATTGCTTATATCCTCATGAGTAGAAAAAAATTTTATATAAAGACCATGTTCACAGCTCAACAGGTTCGGAGTTACAAGGGCTTTTATGGTATATAACAAAGCTGACACGGATCATTCAATTTTTTCTTGTTTTTTTTTTTCGAAATATTTAATTGATTCGGTCATATTGTATCTTGAATTCGATTAATTTAATGTTTCATTTCTGGAATTACAAAAATAAACTGGAAAATTTTATAATTTGGAAGGCAGAACTGTTTCTGCAAAAAATTTACATTGTTTTTTAATTTAACACTTTAAGGGAGCACTTTTTTTTCATTTCAAAATTATCCAGTGTGTACCAACTACAAAAAATATTTTTTAATACATACATACATTTCTTTTTTATGAAAATAAAAAAGGATTTTAAATAAAAAAACTTTTTGAAACTTTCTCTATATTATTTTCTAATTTAATAAAATAATTAATACATTACTTACTTTTTTTCTGTAATTAACACCATAATTGTAAAATAATTTTTTTATTTTATACGATATGAATTGAAAGTGATTTAAGGTAAATGTGCATATTTTTATACTTTTGCAATTTAATACAAGAAATAATCAGTTAAATGTCAATAACTTGTCTTAAATAAATTGTTACAATACTGTAAACGGATATCTTCTTTTATTAAATGGCAATTAATATCAGATATTTTTAAACCTCGATTTTGATATACTCGTATATGTACATAATTAGCGAAATATTTGAAAATTCTACAATTTACAACAATTACAAATTCTACAATAATTAATTATATATTAAATTATATTATATTAAATATTTGTTGTTCGGGAAATGCTAGATATGTATGTCTACAAGACCACCGTCCGTCGACTAAGCTAAAATTATTATCCGATGTATTCCAAAGAAAAGAATTTATAAAAACAATGTCTAATGTTTTATATTTCGGGGCATGCCGATTTGCTATTAATGTATGTATATATATACATATGTATATATATATATGTTGATATCTCCTATTGATGTATTTATATGTATGTACATTATAGCTATTTCTTTTTTTCTTGTTTACTTTTTGAGTATTCTCATTTTTTTAAGTATGCTTTCAGAAGCCCCCTACAAATATTATAATTATTTTTTTATTTTTTGTAAATAGAAAAAATTAAGTTGGGTCAAAAAGGGAAAATACTGCTTGGAGATGCAAGATAATTTAGTACACATTATTTAAATTAAATTAATATTGTACCGAATTATATATAAAACTATTGCATACATTTAGGATGAGCAAAAAAAAAAATTGGAAGAAGCATTATGTATAGGTTTAATTGGACCAATATGTTGGTTCAATTGGACGATTAAGCAAGTGAATTAAGAAAAATAACTATATTTTTTGATAGCATGATATTTATCGTTAGCGTTATGCATTTATAGAAATTTGGAAAAACTTGCTGTTTCAGAAATATAAGGTGCCGAAAATTTGAATTTTACCAATTTGTTTTACAGAAATAAGTTTCTTTCAGCTTTTTATCTTCAAGGGTGCATCTTTTTATCTTCGGACAGCATCTTTTTAGCGAACGGACAGATCCACGGATGGAAAGAGTGAAACTAATAAGTAATTTTTTTTAAATTATTTTGAAAATGCGATAAAAATACCAGAAATTGCTTGTGTTTAAGTTTTTAAATTGAATTTTTTTTTTCATGTTATACAGTATCCTTTCTTCTTTTTTCCGTTTGAAACAAAGGAAAGGTTAATTTTTTTTTTTTACAAAAATTTTTTTATGAAATTAGCAATTCTTTTATTTTAATTTGATCGTTAAATATTGAAATAGATTGTAGAATCAGTTGAGTTAAACCACTCAAAAAATGATGTTGGACATTTTGCACACAAAATTAGAAATCACTGCATTTACTCTCTAAGCTTATTGGTAGCTTGATAGATGCATGCACATGCTTAAATATATTCGGCATCAATTTCGTATGTATGTATAACAAAACAACATTGTTTTTATGAAATTTCAATAAATGATTTATAATAATAAATACTTGGTTTGTATAATTTTATTTGAAATTTATATGTACATAAGTGTTATATGTATATACATTTTAAAAAATCTTTGAAAATAAAGAAAATGAAGATAATTGGGTCTTCTATAATAGTTCAAAAAAGAAATAAGATATTAAGAAGGAATTATTCAATTGAAAGCAGAAAATATTTTGATTGTCTTATTTTACTTCGTTACCTATTTATTCATAGAAACAGATAGTTAATGTAATTGTACATGTATACACACATAATATAACCGTAAAATAATTTTATTCTATACAACACCTTGTTTTTTTCTTCATTGCCAATTTAATTCATAGAAAAATGATCTTGTCTTTGAGTATAATTCAATGTTCACTCATTAGTACGCTTTTCTAACATATTTTTTTAAATGTTACATACAATAATGTAAAGCGTATTAGATTAAAAGAATTAGAAGAGAAAGAAGAAAATCTGGATATTAATATGTATGCAGACATGTTAAGTATAGATTATAGACAGCGTTGTATAAATTTATATAAATTGATAACTATGCTCGTATTTCTTTTTAAACTAATTTTATTACAAGTTTTTATTTGTCTTGTAAATTGAACTAGATTATTGAATGAAAAAATCAATTTCGAATCTATTTACCCATATTTGGAAATTATTTCTTGAGCATACACAATTTTTAAATTGTCTTTCGATTTGATTTGTTAATTATATACATTAAATTTATTGTATGTAAGCAGCAAATTATTTCATAAAACTAAATAAAGAATTATGATTTGTATAACATATTGAAGCATTTAATGTCAAGGACGTACGTTTTATAAATACGAGTAGTTTCCAATCGTAAGTGGTAATTAACCCCAATTTTTTTTACCATAATGATCAAAGGATACTTGCTCTGTTACAAAGGATGCAGTTTTAATATAATATATAATATTACACTAATTAATGTCAGTAAATCATAAGTACACTTGTGCTTGTTAGCTCAGAATTTTGTTTATAATTTATGCATGATCATAAATTAATAATATGATAATAATTTTTAAATTCTCTTTGAGTAACACTCTACGTTTAAGTTTCTTTTAACTATGTGTACTAACTTACATGCAAGGAAGTATAGTATAGAAGCAACAGAATTTTTAGCATCATAGAAAATTATATTTTTAATTTTTGGCACCACATTGTACACTTCTAAATCACAAGTACATAGCAAATTGACAAGGTAGATTATGATGCAAGCAAGGAAAAACTAGAAAATTTTTACTGAATAATTCTCTATATTTAATTATGTAGGAATGTGTATGTAGACGTTTGTCTTATAAAATTAATAATTAATAATGACTACTTGTAATTAATTATGTTATTAATTTAAATACGTAACGCAAAATTAATAATTATTATTTTTTTCTATGTTAAAATTAATTTTCAATCAAATATTTTAGAGTAGTAATTTTTATACAAGTACGTTAATTATAGCATTGTCTAATATTTACTGTACACTTAATGAATATCAATGAGTTTAAAATTATATTATGTATTTCTGTATGTATATAAAAAATTGGTATATAATATTAAACACATACTATGTATAATATATCGTAAATTGAAGCGGCATATAATTTTTTAATTAGTCAAGTTAAGTCCATATATTTTTATTGATGTTTAATATACGCTTTTTGTATACATTAAAGAAGCAACATAAGAACCGTTTTATTTGTTTTTTTTTGTAAAAATACTGTAATATTAAGTATAGCTATTAAGACATAGTTTGCAACATGCAGTTGTCGTTGTGCATGTATGTAGAAGTTTTACTCGTTTTAGTTGATTACTTAAGAAAAAAAGTAAAATTATGCATGTATGTATACAAACTGTTCTTTCATTGTCGTTACTTTTATTTCCTAAGTAGTAAAAATTTACGATATTATGACAAAGTCTAAGATTAAATCACTGTTTGACGAAAATTCGCAATGTGACCGCTGTTTTACATAAAAATTCTTCCGATTGCAAATAATGCCTATAAATTTTTTTATTCTTACCAAACTTTCTGATTATTTTTCATTTTCAAATTTTTAATTTCGAAATTCGTTAATGATGAAGTAGCAAATATATTATATTTTGGCGTAAAATTTGAGTTTCATTAGATAATTTCAGTTTGGAGTATTTAGAGTCATCAAGTTTTAACTGTAGCTTTATTTCTAGATTTTTGTCATATTAATAAACAGCACCTAATCTTAATTCTGATATATAACTCAAATCTCTTATTTAATAGAAATTTTAGTCATAGACTTGAAATAATCTTCTCTTGCAACTGCTAATTTTTTAATTGCATTTAATTTATTGAAGAGCATCAAGTACTATTTGCCTAATCTAAGGCAAATAAATTAACAATGCCATTGAAATTATTGTTAAAATTATAATCAATAATTGAATTTTATATTTTACCCATAAATTGCTACTTGGGATATCTAAAGTATAAAGGATGAAAACACACACTGTTATAGTATATAGTATAATTTTAGTATCTATTATATCATTCGTATATAAGAAAATCACTAAAATATTGTTGACCAACTACATAAAACTAAAGAAAATTCCTATTCAAAAGAAAACCTAGAAAAAAAGTGGTTTAAAATAAAATCATTGTGGATCTAACGCGAAAGTAAACCATGTGTAATAAAAATTTTTTTCTAATTTTCTCCTCCATATTTTTCTTGTTCTTAGTTTGATCTAAAATCAGTTTTTCATAATAATAAAATCAGATGCATTAGAAGACTTTTGTGCATTTTGCGTGTGAATTTTCGCGAATAAACTTTTATTGAATATAAGCAGCTCAGAGAAGCGCGTTTTGTGAAAAAAGAATTAAAAAATATTTATCATATTAAATTAATGATTCCGTTTAAAGACTTAGTTACATTGAGAAAATCATTTTAATTTTTTAAATAAATAAAAACAAAAAACAAAAATATTATTTGGTTTATAAAAGAAATTCGCCTTAAAAATGGGCGATTTAAATTATAAGCATATTTTAGTTATACTGGTCATATTGAAAATTTCAATTTTAAGTGCTCATAGTGTTAGCAATAGTGATAATGAGACACAAATCAAAAATCATTATCGTCATAAGACTGAAAATCATCATTTGAAATTAATTAAAGAGAATACTGGAGAAACGGATGTATTAGTAAATTCTGCACGACATTTAGACCAAGATGTTGATGAATTTGACAATGATAGTTCTGAAACAGAAAATACCTCAACTCACGATGCATGGGAACGTAAAAGTAAACCATTAAGAAATATATTTATGGGTATTTATAAAAATTATAAGAGTACATATTTGGGTAATAGAACTTCATCAGAATATCGAAAATCAATGCATGATGGATGGGCATCAGAAACATCTGGCTCATCAAAATTATCAACTTCAAATCAATCCAATGATAATGATATGACTACCACGATACAAAATAACGTTGAAAATAATAGTGATACGGAACAAAAGCAATCAACTTCAATAAATAGCGATGGTAAAGATGAACAATATCAATCGAAAAGAACAAAACTTAAACGTAAGAAAAAGAAGAAGAAGAAGAATAAGGGTTCGGTTGTAAAAAAGGATGAACCATTATTATATAATTATGATGGTGAATATCGTTATAATATTGGTCCCGGAGTTAATATATCACTCGATATGAATACAGATATTGTAAGTGTTAATTTAGATGAAGATTGTCTTAAAGAAATTCTACTTGGCAGATGGGATGATGAAAATGAAGGTAATTGAAAATAAATTTAAATAAAATTCCATATTCTTATATTTGTGTATGTGTTTGCTTTTTTTTATGAAAATAGGTCGTGGTAAAAAATATGAAATGATCTCGAAAATTTTACCATTATTCATTTTACCATTCTTAATTCAATCTGCAATAATACCATTTTTGGTAACAAAATTGAAATTACTTTTGATAAAATCAATTTTAGTTGGAAAATTGGCAATATTTTTATTAGTAATATCAGCAATTAAAAATAATCAAAAAGTAGCTACATATGAGCCAGCACCAGCATATTGGGCAGCCGAACCAAGTAGAAGATCAGAAATTTATAATGGATATAGAGTTGAAGGTCGTCCAACAACATGGGTACAATAAATAAAATAATGTTAATATTCCCATTTCTAATTAATGCAAAATATAATAATAAGATGCAAATTAAATTAATAAAAATTATTAATTTTTTGTTAATTAATTTTTTTGATTATTTCAAATGAAAACATTTTTAAAATTTTTGATAGTTATATTAAGTATACTTATAGTTTAGAAAATGAAATGAGAAAAATAAAAATGATAACATTGAGATTTTATTGAATGTGTAAAGGGTTTTAATTTTTTATACATTCTTGCAGTAAAAATTAGTTATACTGCTACATTTGAATGATTTTAAAAAACTTTTTAAAAATCAAAAACAAATTTATTTCTGTACTGTAGATTAACTGTAACATGGTATGGAGAGCCAATAAACTTTAATTATTCTAAAGTAAAAGCTAATTTCTTAAATTATAGAAAATATTGCTGTAAAAAGCAGAATGTCTGACTGTACATCAAAATTTCTTATTATGAATTTCAAAATTTCCCTTGGAAACCCTGAAAAATTTTCAATTAATTAATTACAGTGTACATTTTTAATTGATTTTTAATTTATTCACTTTTTATTTATACGAGTATATTACTTCTTTATACAGATATTTACATATTATTTACACTAATTACATGTGATAAAATTTTAAAATATAGTCATCAAAACCCACAATAATGCTCCCTTTCTGTAACATTACAAGTATCACAAGTAACATTACAACACCATACAAATTTACAATTACATTTTCGTTCTAATAATAATATTTTTTCATGGACTTTTAATCCACATGCACGACATAAATTTCTACATGAACGTCTTTCTTCTAATGACGATTCTTTATTTTTTGTTCTTGAACACTGACGTCCAATCATACCTTTCCAATTAGTTATAATATTTGGTTTACAATAATTTAATGATTCATGAACATATGCAAGAACATTTTTTGGTTTATTATCATAATCGATGAAACCCTTATTGTCAGCTTTAATAAATAATGCTTTTTTATACATTTGTCTTAATTCATTAGCAACTCTATCAAACGAATTTAATGTTGTCCAACATTGTTGATTTTCACATAATTTTGATAAAATATTTTCACATTTGCAATATTTTTTTAATGAATTTTTAATTGCTAATTTAGCAGCTCTATTATTATGTAAAATGGCGTAACCATGAGCATCATTTGCTATTTCTTCATTTGTTAATTGATCAGTTAAAGTTTCAGCAAATTTTATATTATTATCGCAAATACCAAATTGATTTTTATCAGATTTATTACAAGCATCACTACATTTTAATAAATTTCCTTCTGTACAATTTTTTATTATTGTAAATATTAAGGAGGCTGTTGTTATTGCTGATACAAATGCTGTTTCTCGATCTAATAATATATTCTGTGATATTCGTTTTGAATGAAAATCTTCTTCTGGACAATTCCATTGATCCCATTTAAATGTATTTTGACAATGAGCATGAGCTAATTGTAAACTTGCATTGAATATATTATGGAATATTTGGTTTTGAATCTTGTATTTAAATGAAAAAAGAAATTATAATAATACCAATTAATATATTAAAATTTCCACATTTAATTTATATTGAAGGATTGCTTACCAAGTTTTTACCATAAAATACTCTATTTTTCTTTGCTATAATCATGGGAATGTCATATTGTTTATATCCTTGAGATCCCTGAATATACGACATTAAAATTAAAAAATAAATCGAAAATATTTCTGGCATTTTTTTACTGTATAACATTTTTTTATTTTAATATTTTTGTTTAATTTAAAAAAAGTTTTAAGTGTATAATCCTTGTTAAGTGTTTGAGTTAAAAATGATAATTACTTAATTTTAAGAAAGATTTTTTCCTTTTTATCGATTTTTTTCCTTATTCATTCAAAAAAAAATTTAAAAAAGTATGAATGAAATTTGCTAAAATTTTTATTGTTATTACCTCAAATTTTCACTCATTAAAAAATTACAAAAAGTGGTGGTTATAGCCTGATTTATCCTTTTTTTTTGTATTTCGTTTTAGTTTTCTAATCTTTTTAGGTAAAAAAATGAGGGTTATTAATGAAAGGATTTTTTTCAATTTGGTTCATTTTGACTTTTTATTACTTTGTTATGGTGTAAGGTTTTTTTTTACTCAAAAAAGGTAAAAATTATTTTTTATGGAAATTTTTAAGTTAAAATTTTACCCTCTATAACAAAGTGAAAATGTAGTTTAAGTAAAAATAATAAAATGAAAAGAGTTTATTTTTTTATGAATTAATAATTACCTGGGATTTTTTCATTCACTTTAAAATTGAAGTCTGTTCATTTAGTTAACATGAGAATAGCAAAATACATTGTTGATGTATAAAAAGTGTGAAGTACAAGTGCTACCTTTCACATAAAATTTCATTGTTAAAGTAATGTTGTACAGGTAACTGAACTAATAAAATTATATATGTAGGTTATTCCTGTTAAATAAATTCGGGGAATACCAAAGATTTGTAAAATATTATGAATTTTTATAAACAAAAACAGAAAACATAAACAATCAATTCACTCGTTTATATTTGTATATTATTGGTAAATATTTATATATGTGTATACATACAATGAAAAAACATAAAAAAAATTTTGTTTAGGGAAATTAGATCAAGGTTACAAACATAAATAAAATGTCTGGATCAAAAAATGCTTTTTCAGTTTTTGGAAATTAAAATATTTTTGGTAAAAACTTAAAGGTAAACTTAGTTTTAAAAATTGGAATATATAACAAATTTTTGATAGTGTAGGTACGACATTTGGCGTTTGATAAAGATTTTTAAATGAAATTTTTTTTAGGTAATAAATTATAAATTGTAGAGGTAAGTGGACAAAGGGGTTAACTTCTATTTGCATTGTGACACATTTTTTCATTAACAAATTGTAAAATTATTAATTTTTTCGCTACTTGTCTCCTATGTGCACTGTAAATCTCGTCTTCAATTAAGTTTCTATAGTTATAAAAGTAATCAGAGTTGAAAATATATGAAATTTAATGATATTCTATCCGAAAGGCTCGATTTTCGTCAAAATGTTAGTTATTCGCTTTGTCCACTTACCTCTTCATTATATAATATAAAATTCTATAATAAACGTTTATGACTGAATAAATATTTGTTATCTTCTTAATAATTATAATAAATTTTAATCGATTACAAAGTTTTAATTTTAAATACTAGTAATAAATTTGTTTTTGAAAATTTAATTCTATTAAATTGAATCCAATTTAAAAAATCGTGCAACTGCAATATGGAACTCAAAGATATAGATGTATCTATATGCTTTTTATTGGTAATATGTTATGTAAATTCTTAAATGGACTGTACATAAACATTGTAAGTAAATGGACTGTACATAAACATAATATGGATATTGTCAATGACCATGTCAATTTTATATTGACTTAATAATAAATTCAAGCATTAAAATTAATAAATTGATACATTACCTGCCTAATACTTATGTGAAAACACATTTCTCAAGAAAATTTTATGAATTTCAGAGACTATTTTGTTCGGTCTTAAATTCTGTTAGAATTATTTGCGTTCTTCTGTTATATGAATTCATTTCATTTCTTGATTCCGATAATATAGAAACAATAAGTAATTTGAATTACAAAAGCTGAACTAAACTTTAAATAAGAACAATACGATTCTTCTTTTAAACAATTTGCTCTAAACTTTAAACAATATTTAAAAATAAATTACATTAATTTTCCTAAAATCTCGAACACACATTAGATTGTATATTTATGTAGTACACGGTATACATCACTTTAAAAATTCATAATTCCTTCAAAACTTTTCGAATAATGATTTATCAGTATTTAATTTTTTATTTTAGTAATAAATAATAAGTCTAATATAGCAGGTGATTAGCTTATTTAAAATGAATAAAATATTTCTATGTATGAATGTATGTATATGTATGTATACATATATGTACATATATAAGTAAATGTGTCAATTGTGACTGTTATGTTAACATTTTATTACTGTTATATTTTTTTTAATTGTTTTAATTTTTAATATAATGGCTTTCCTTTATGAAAATGTGAAATTGTATGTGTTCTATACTATTTAAAAATAAAACTAAAAAAAATTATTTATTAATAGTATTTCTATAATAACAATCGCTCGAAAGTGTATAGTAAAATTAGTCAAAAAATTTCATTTAATTTCAATTCAAAATTTAAATAAAAATTCAAATAATCGAATTGTAAGAAAATCTTTTAAGATCAGCCGGAATGAGTTCGTTTGTGCAGCAAACATATTTTTTTATACCCATTTGATATACGTATTCCAATACGTATGTAGTATTAAAGCACATTGTTTGCATGTGCTGTAGGTACATACATATGTACCTAATTTGTAAATACGAACCCGTTCTTAAAATATTTGAAAATTTTGTAATAATATTTGGTTTAATCTTGATTTAACTAGCAATCTAAGTCTTACAATAAAGGAAATAATTTATAAAAGAAATTAAATTTTACACGCTCGATAAGAGAGATGACTATGACAACTGCTATAACATATACATACATACATGTATATAAAAATTAATTTTTTCACTCTTTTCACAAAAACGGCAATGACAAAATCCAAATTGATTTTAATATGACGACAACAACAGTTTGTTGCTATTCTTTTTAGATAATGTGGTTATAAATTAAGACAAGAAAACTTCAATCTCTCAAAAATATTTTTGTTCAACAGCGTTGTAAGATTAAACGAAAAAAAAATCAAGCGACTAGGGTCACTAAAAATATCATCAACAAGTTATAAACTATTTAATAAACCTTTTAAAAGAATGAGTAATTTTTTGATTCGATTATAGAGAATATTCATAGACATAATATTAGGCAGTTTTGTCGCCCGTTCTCAAAAATTTTAAAATTTTTGTTACTAGTTATTAAAATTTACTCGGTTTCATTTAGCTTAGCGATCAAAAACATTGAAAATTTAAGTTTATTTTGAACTTCTATTTAGTATTTTCTGACCATTCGGATTGATAAACATGGTTTATTTATGTTGATTACTTAATTATCAAATATTAAATATAGAATTTTTTTCTTTTAATTATTCGTGATGTTCCCTCGTCTTTATAATTTCAATCGGTCTTCTTTTAATTTAGTATTAAATTGTGTAATATTTAACAACAAACAACAATGATAATTTTAATAAAACTTATTCTTTTAAAATATTTAATAATTAATGTTAACGGTGTTATAATAATTAATAAATTTGATGAAGTGATAAACACCTTTCGCAACAAGGTTAGTATTCTAAATCATTGAAGTGTTAACGAAATAAATTATTTGAAGAAAGTAGGTACTCAAAATAGTTATAAGAGCGTATTTAAGTAATGAAGTTTGAACTTTATAATTTCTTATTTTATATTATATAGAATTAAATAAAACTGAGGATTTAATTGATCGTAATTTGATATTATATCCCTACTCAATAAATTCAATCTATAATGATTAATGATTGAATGAAAAACAAATTTGGTGATTTTTCACAGCACACTTCTAAAGTATACTTGTTTGTGTATCATAATACACTTGTATAAATAATTTCTTTTATTATAATTGGAATTTCGAAAAAAATTCGTATACAAATTAAACTATGATGAGAAGAGCTTAATTTTAATTATGTATGTACATATTATGCATAACCACATTTTGTTTGTAGAACCATTTCTAATATTTTGATGAAGTCATGTAAGTAGATTTTCATTGAAAACATTGGCAGTTAATAATTATGATACTCGTAATTTTTAAAATTGTCAGACTATTTTTCTAAACTTTTAAAATCATTACACAGGAATACTAATTCATTCGATAGCAATTATTTGATTATTTTTTTAATGCTAAATATTATCTGCTTCTTATATTTTATGGTATTATCTTTTGATAAATTGTGTAATTTCAATAGTAATTGCCGGAGTTGCGCCTATGTTTATTATAGCAGTCAGATATCTCAGTTTATTTTTTATTTACGATTTATAAGATAATAAAACTTATAAATATTATTTTATATTTTATTTTACTATCTTTTGTATATAATAAATTTACTTGTTTTAAATTCTTTATTGACAAGTAGATAAATGAAATAAAAAAAAATTTTTTTCTTGCTATAAAGTTGAATACAATAATAAAAACCGTAATTTGAAGTGGAGCGTCTATCTGAACTTTTTAAATTTCCCAAACTTATGCAAGTAAATCAAAATATAATTATAAAATTCCACATTCATTAATATAAAATACTGTGTACTAACATTCGTGTTGCAACAGAAATGAAACTTTTGGTCTACTCCTCACCGTCAGAGGTGAGGTACTTCGGCAATTAATTTTGGCACAATTTATTGAATTTTAAGCACTCATTTAAGCAATTTTAAGCTTTTTTTATTCACTCATTTTGGATAGCTGTGCATTATTAAACAGACATCTTTATTCTCGTTATTATTATTACAATTTAGGAGTTTATGATTATTAACCCATGTTGATCATCTACTATGCAGAACCTACAATAATTTAGAATAAACAATTTAATACGCTGTTGATTGTATCGAAACGATATATAGTTACATGAATCTAACAATGTACTTTTAAAATTTTAAGAAACAAATTTATAAATATTTACAATAATTATGATAATACAACTTTT